TATATATATATATATATATATATATATATATACATTATATATATATATATAATCTGTCCAACATTAGGGCTGAGCGACACATGGGTAATACTGATATAGCTAACAGCTTCGCACACTAACGATGGTTCAACGTAGTATTGGTGCGTGGCAACCATTCAGAAGTTTATGTTGGGGCCAGTCAACTATACACCACGCCGTGCCACATTACCAGACAGCAGAGGCAGTCGCCAGCCATAGAACTGAGATGTTACCGTACGGATTTCTTATATGACATACAACATAACACAAATCTCACCTCTGCTTGATCCCCGGCCATCGCGGAAACAAGACGGCAGAAAATAGCTTTCGCGCAGGAGGGAATTTCGACACCTTTGTACTGGTGCGAGGTAAAGCATAGATGTAGCCCAGGGATACGAGCTATGCGTTTGTCAGAAGCACTTCGTTGGTTGACAGATACTGATCATGCAGTGACTTGTTGCATGAAGTCAGTACAAACTAACCACTGGTTAGCTGACAGGCTCCTTATAGGCAAATAAGCTGGCATTTTGAACAAGGCATATATACCGTCTGTAGTTTTGTGGGCACGTCCAGCATTGCTGCTAAGTTAAGGGCCTGGTGTGTACTTGTCACTTTTCTAGCAAACAGCCAGCATGTTCCTCTTCTTTGCAACACTAGTCGGAGATCGATCGATGCTACTGTTCTTTCATCCACGAGAATTTGCTAATTTGATTTACAGTATTCCTTTATTCTTATAGTTCCACAACCAGATTCCAGCACCGATTTGCAATGCTGTATAGGTTAACACGTCCCTTCATCAGCATGAAAGTCGCAAAGGGAAAATATATGCTCGAACCACTTTCTTGCCGTACGAACTGATGTCATAAAAGGTGTGCGAAGGTACTTCTTTCCGATACGCTATCATTTCCGTCGGTTCGTTTACTGCCACTTACCATTAGCTGCAGTGCAGACGCCGAGCAGCCCATGGAGACCGTAGCGTCGGTTGTCGTAGCTTTTGTTCCTAGGATCGGGTGGGGTCAAATTCACCCAGCCCCCAAAGGTTTTTCAAAATGGTTTCCGAACGGCGCGGCGTGGCTGCGCCAAAAATTGCATAGCTGTGGAAGATTGAATAGCAAATCGTTTGCTGTTAACACATTCGGATGTACCTCCTAAGGTCGCTGACCTATGGCAGGTAAAGTCAGGCAATTGTTTCAGCGAAGGCAATTTCAAGGGAGTCGTTCAATCTGATGCAACAACGGAGCGTTGGACGAAGCCGTACATCTCTGAGATGCTTTCTAAGGCAATGCAACGTTTGAGTGAGCAAACTGCATTGGCCTAAGGTCAGGTATAAAGGTCAGACTAAAGTTAAAACCAACCTGTTTTGTTGCCCTAGGGCTTGCTGTAAGGGATACTTTCGGGTGCCAATTTCGAATTTATTGATAGCAAGAACCGCATTCTACATCTTCCACGCACTTCATAGAGGTCAGAATAGGTAAATGACCTAAAATGACCTAGGTCAACAGTTTGTTTTTAGGGAGCATGCTGTCTAGCGTAATCTTTCCTCTGAGTTTTGCATTTGAATAAGCGACAATAAGCGACTGCTCTGAGTTTTGCATTTGAATAAGCGACAGTCTTGTATAAACCTTGTCGCCATGACCTTCAAAAGGCCAAACAAGATTAATGACTTATGATGTGCATGTGACCTTTTGTTTAGAAACAGTTATCTGGGTTCTAAGGGCACTTTGGAGACCATCCTGGAATTTGACCCTGTTTGACCTTATTCGATCCAAAGATCATGACCAAAGAACATCAACCTTGGACCTAAGTGAGTTCACGTGCAGGTCGACACACCCTGTAAATTTTGTGTCTCTTCATATCTTATCTCTCGAAACCTCAGGGGTCATATTAATCCCCCCTCCCCCACCCAAGCGAAAGGTATCCAGCCGGCCACCCGGGCGCGTGTTAAAAAAGTTGCACAACTTTTTTCATTAATCGTTTCTGATTGATGGCTGAACATTGCCAGACGATAATGGGCTGGTCATGTTCCACAAATTCTTGACCCCGATTGCGATCCGTTATATACCATTGCGGCATCCTCAGTATATTTGTAGAATCCATGCAAATTCTGGCATAGCCTCTGAGTGTTTTTGCCAGCAGCTTTTTCTATGTAGTCATTTCGTGCCTGCTCCCTTTAGTTTATTGACAACAAAGTGTCAATGGAGTTGCACGGTCCGATAGCACATAGCTGCTGTTTCAGTTGAAGAAGTTAAAAATAACTAAGACCAATAAAATCGCGTGCACTCTAAAACAAGTGGGTCATGTCTGTTTGGAGGGGGGGGGGGGGCTTTCAATCAGCAAGGGGCCCTTCATCAACGGAGTGGAGTGGCGGAGTATGGCGGAGTGATACGGAGTGGCTCAGGAGTGTGCTTCTTTGCTCAGTTCCGAAGACCGTGCAGTGTTCGTGACAGCCTCCAAACATGCAGCTTCCCTCCGTTTGATGCTGATGTTAAGACACTGGTGTTTCTGGTAAGGTCGGTTCGGTGATGCTCCGGCCGTGCTCTTTCTTATGTGCTTTTTTGCAGCACCGTCAGGAAAACTCATCGTTAACCGCCTTGAGAGTGCAATAGGGAGCGACACCAACGTAGTCGGATTGCTTTAGGACTTCGTAGTATTCAATGCTGCAAAACATAGTCGACTACGCCGGTGCTCTTTGAGGGTCAGTGATATCATGTTTCATGATGATTGGGGTGACCTTGCTTGTGGAACAGATGCGCGTTTTCTTGTCATCCTGCCCGACTGGTTTGACGTTGACAGATATGATTTTTTCAGGATACGCTCGTTTATCTGGTAGCTTTCAGACATTTCATTCCGATGGAGCTGGTCCACTTAATTTTGCTTGATGGCGTTGGTTTTTTCCGATATCGTGCGATAAAACTGTTGATAACATGACCGATGACTGTTGGATTAGCCATATTTACAAAAACTGGTTTGAAGCGCTGCAGTTCATTGTATAACTGCGTCTAATCAGAACAGAGTTTGAATACTCTTCGGGGGTAGGTGCGCACTTCATTGATTCTGAAGCCATTCTGAGTACTCGCATGTGACACTGAGGCATCGTTCAGTGTTTGCTGCTTCTTTGCACTGTTCTTACGAATTAGTGTTGTTGCTCAGCAGCGATGATGAAGACGACGTCATGCTGTTTGGTGATATCTGTCTCCAAAAGGTATACGATCTCATGATTCTCAGAACTAACGCAAACTACTTCATGCTTAAGATGGTTTAATTGTCTGGCAAAGCAGAGTTATTGCTTACAACTGAAGGCTGTCGTGCAGGGAGGGGTTAGGCTTAGTGAGAGACTTTCCCGTCCGGACAGATTTAACTAATTTTTGTTGAACGTCCGAAAGCGCCCGAAACGAGGCGCCACAAAACCCATGCTGCGTGGGCGGATCGAAAACTAGCGGGTCGTTACGTAGCTGCCCCTGATCGACCGTGCGTGGGCGGTCAGCGTTATTGCTCGTATCCTCCCACGCGTCTGATTCGGTGGCGATCCCAGCCCATGCTATCAATTCTGCCGGAGCTATATCGCCGAAATGTACGAGACTCAAGAGCCGGCTGTTGTCGTCCTGCAGTGAGGGCCGAGCAGCTGACACGGCGAGCGGAGGGGGTGGCACAAGTCACGGCACACGCCGACCGCCCGTCGAGCCCCTCCACCGGGGCCTCCTGGAGCAGCCGGCTCTTCAGTGTCCGACAGCCTCACTAGGTCAAGTGACGAGGGCCTCACAGCATTCCACGCCACTGAGTCGAGTCGTGGCATGCATGTGATTCGTCCGGCTTTCGCTGCCGCTGTCTTCAGATTAATTTGAACTGAAGCGTCACTTATTCCCTCTGCTCCGTGATCCATGGACAAGAAGTCACCGGCTTCGCCCAGATTGACAAATGGCGAGCAAAATGAGCAGACACCCAACGATGCTTTGCGCTACAGATGAACAATACAACCTTTGGCTGCGAGCGAAATGCTTTGAGGAGTATGCAAACATGGACTGTATTTGAGATCAGCACATCCAGAGCTAAACGCAAACCGCAAAGTAATTGCGCTTCGAATGTACAGAAATCTGATCCTAAAATTACATGCGCTGCTCAATCTACAGATGCCGGTTTTCTGAAATCTTGCTTTATTTAAGGCGTTCACTTGTGGATAGCATCCAATTGTATTGTCATATATAATTATATATTGATAGTTACAACATTCACATCAAATTCGAATAAGACGACTGCTGGTCTACCAAGGGTCCGGTTAGTGGAGACAAACAAAGACCGTGCCATTAAGAAATCCTTAGACAGATGAGGTCAGACCGCCGTTCGGTCGGCATGCTACGACATCGCACGGCGACGGGGCTGTCGGAGGCCACGCATCGGACAGAAGAGCGCGCCATTGCGAGGCTGGCGAGCCAGCGCCGTCCCCACACCGTGCGGCGTTCGTGCCAGCACGATCACGGGTCTGTCGTGCGTGGTCGGACGGTGCAGACTGACACGCCGAGTCCGTCTAAAGCAGGCATAAGTCGACATGCATCCAGCCTTCGATGTAGTCGATCGTAATCCACCGCCGAATCGCAGCCCCCCTCAGCCAGCGCCAGATCGACAGCACTCAGCCACTCGACACTCAGCCCGATTTCCGAGAGCGGACTCGGAAATCGGAGTTTTGAACTGCCTGAATGACCTGCTGGGGAGAGAGGCTGCCATTCGCCGTGGAGGAGCCACGCCAACCCCACGGCCTCTCGTGCTCGCCGACAGCGCCTGCCATTGGCTCGATTTAAGATCCGCCGGAACCGAACAGCGCCCAGGAGTCACCTCATCCGGAATACAGTGGCGAAACAAAGCCGGTTTAAACAAGCGTCTCTCGGCGGCGGCGGGTCCGCGGGCGGAGCCAGGCGCCGGGCGTGAGGCGTGGGGCGCACGCCGGGCCGGGCCGGGCCCCGGGACGCCTCGGTCACCCGAGCGGGACCGCGGCGGCGGCGGCGGCGGTGGCTGACTGGCGGGCCGGTCCGCTAGATTAGTCGTAGCCGGGGCTGTGCGAGAAGAGCAGGTCCTTCTGCAGCTGGTCTAACCTGGCCGGGTACGCCGGCCTCTCCGACTGGTGCAGCATCTGCGGACCGAGGCCGGCCGTTAGGGTCTGGTCTGACCTGGCTGGCTACGCCGGCCTCTCCGACTGGTGCAGCATCTGCGGACCGAGGCCGACTGTTAGCGGCTGGTCTGAACTGGCCGGGTACGCCGGCCTCTCCCACTGGTGCAGCATCTGCGGACCGAAGCCGGTTATTATCGGCGCCGTTCACTAAAGACGCCAATCGGCCGTCGGGACCCGGCCAACTTGCTAACGACCGCGCCGGGCTCACTCGGGCGCACCACCGACGCCCGGCCTCTTGCGGTCACGGCCAGACGACGGTCCGGCCTGGTGGGCTTCCGCTGGCGGCTGGCACCTTGTCACGTCACCACACCGCGCCTCCCACGCGCCTCTGTGAAGCATCCGCCCCCTGGTGAGGGTGAGCACAGCGGCTTCCCCGGGCCAGCGTGCCAGTATGCGTTGGGGTGTCATCCTCGTCTCGATGTGCCTGGAGGCATGCTGGCCTGTTTTGTGTTCGCCATCGGCGTGGGTCGTCAGTTCCGCTGAAGGCGGTCGCCTGTGGTGTGTAGTTCCATGAAAAGTTACGCTAGTGGGCTTATAATGAGACGCTAATATGGATTTAGCCGGACTTCAATGCATGCATTCATGGAGAAGACAAGCTTTGGACGAGTACTGAACAGTCTTTGCATGCATATTGTAAGAGCCAATTCACTCGAATTTCCCCTAGGGATAGAGGAAGACATTTGCCTTGTGGCATAGCCATATATCTGTAGCCAGGTGCGCTGTCTCCTGAATGATGGCCAGCGAAATGCACTACCCCGCTGTGATTTAGCCAATGTGCAATGTTCATGCATCATCAACGCATAGATATGAGATTAACAAACAAAAACGGAACGGGAGTGTCTGCTTCAAGACAAATTATCTCACTTTGTCGCCAGCTCAGCTCTCACAACGTCACTGGTTTTTCACCCATATGCAACTTAGAGATACGAAGGTGGTGTGAAACCCGGAGTTTTCAGGCCCAACTTCCCAAAATATGCAAAACAAAGTTTAAAAACGGCGACGTCGAACAACAAAAGGCAAAACAAGGGTCTTTTAGGCCGGTCTGATGCGTCATCTGTACCCCTTAGCAAGGGCAGTTTATGCTTTCCCAGTAATTGATCCATCAAGGCTGATCAAACTAGGTCAGATCACTGCTTCCTGCATCTATGCAGCTTTTGGCCTGCTTATCCCTATGCTTGTGGCGGATAAAATGCCTGAGTATGAGACACAAGATCTAGCCAACCGCATCATATTCGCGAACGTCTCAATGCAGGAGGCCCAGGCGTCTCACTGCCAGGCATAAAGCATTCCTTAAAAGCTGCACGACAGCGGGAGCGCCGTGTACCACGCATTCCTACCTGCCACTTCAGACACTCACTGGTAGCCCACCATTGCCGCGTCGGGCATTACAGCCTATTGAGGACGCTGTAAGTTGTCAATTTCCAAAGGATACCCTTCGCCAAAAGTACTCAAAAAGATGTAGCGCTCTAAAAGACCCTGTTGCATTAAGAGATGACCACGGGCTGGTTCCTTTGATGCATTCAGTGCCACACCTATATTGCCCGGTCGCATTACCATTACCGGAGACCCAAGCAGGCCACCGGTCGGGGGTATTTTTGTTAGGCATGCTGTACAGATGTCACGGCGCACTTATCCCTTTTAGGAGTAACGTGGGCGGTATCTCCCATATTTTCTTTGATTATGCTAGCTATTTGAGCAGTTGGTTGGGTTTTTATTTATCAGATCAGCTCATATCACACACGACATTGAATACGGTATGAATAGTACCCAAAAGCCTATATGACCTTCCACCATCGCCTAATTTCGTCGCGCTTGTATGTGACGTGACAGAGCTATCAGTGGTGGTTGGCCAACCGATACCCTTATGTGGTATATATCATTCATATTTGTCATTTCACACAGCTCCTTTCGACAAGAAAGTTGCCAACTTGCCCTTTCGCATGCGTGGGGTCCAAACACAGCTCATAAATGTTTTGCGATATATGGGGCTGCTGGAAATTTTGAACGAGATCACGGAAATGCAGCAACCATGACTGCGTGCAACACACGTTGATAACAGGTTTTACATATCTGAGACCACTTCTCGGTGGGCATGGTAAGAATGATATCAGGATAACATCAATCTTCGGTAGTTATCATTTTGATCATCTGGTTTTACATGGAGAGAACCATAAGCCTCGACCTAATTCGCCGTTTTTTTCTACTGCAAACGGATTGAGGAAGAGAGGGGGCGACCACCCACCATTCAAAAACTAGGAATGGTAAACCATTGCAGAAAAATAAGTGAATGGATCTCTGTACCACCTCCACCTCCTTCCGCGCCCTGCCGCGGTCGGGCGCATGTACCCTCGGGTCAACCGGCTTGGTTGCACGGTCAGGTCAGGGCCGGATGGTGGAGGGCTCGGTCGGTCCATACCTAGAAGCGTAACACTACAATCGGCAAACAGAGAGCAAATAATCAACTCTTATAGCCGACCAGGAGAAGCTCCTAACATTCAAATGGATGTCTGCAGGCAATTACGACCTTTGGGGACTATTTAACTACGCATTTTACGTTCACCTTAAGCATTCTCATGAGGTGTAACTATCAAAATTACAAAATACGAATGATGGCAGCATACATCGTATTAAAATGTATATATGAAGAGCACAGCGCACATAGTGTATTCGTCTAATGCCACAGTAAGTGCACAAAATTGCCCTTGATCTGTAAGAACTGCATTACCTTAACGATGCCAGTGGATTTCAAAAGCAATAACAGCGACTTTGAGGCAGTTGGAAGAGTATTTTTAAATTTCGAAAGAGCATGAGATGACAATTTGAGGACTTGTTTCGGCTGACGGTGTGGCTCGCTGAGACCCAGAAATGCAATCAGCTTGATTTTTCAGCCTGAAAGGTGGCCAGCATCGGTGCTGGTGCAACTCGCGCTATTTTATGGGGAACCCACAACCTACAAACCAAACTAACATTGCATCACATACGTGCAACACAATTGCGTGAAAATGGTGTGATCCCGGTTAACTCAGTTCATGCCTTTTACGAGTCGTCAATAAGTTCAACTATTTTACCTCCTAAAGACACGTAGCTAGGGCATGCCATATTTCAATGGAGGTCCGCGTGTTGAAAATTCGAGCAAATTGCACTGCGTGCGAGATGTCGGCGTTCCTGTTCTGTCCCCACCTGAGATTAAACGCATGACTGGTCACCGAGTGACATCAGGTGACCTTAGGTAATCCGCTGGGAAAGTGGATATCACATTCGTTCCTGAAATGTTTCCACACCGCTGATATATTCAACGACTTCGTGGATCACGATGCCTGACCTCGTTCTATCAGAAATGATAGCCCAGTCGCATGGGATCGTCTTACACAATTTTCGCATGGAACGATGCATAGAACAGTCAGTGCCACCAATCTCTTATGAAACGATCTAAACCTCTGAAGCTGGTCTGAATGTAGAAACGGGCGTATCCCACATCCTCCAGGCTAATGGAGGGGGAGGGAATGGCGAGGCAGCATTTGCTAGTAGTGCAGCGAGCCAGGGTAGGTGGCGGTCTTACTGGCCTTACTTGCCGAGAACACGCCTATGAAAAGGATGAAATGATATATAGTACAAAAACCAACAGGGGTCACAAGACGGACCAAGTTCGCATGCTGACAGCTATGGCCGGTCCTGTCATGCTGAGTCACTCACTTACGAAACCGAAAACCTTAGACTTTTCCCGACGTACTTACATTCCAAAGGCCAAGCCGTTTGCCTGCCTTTTCCTCCCGTCATCATTGACAGCCAGCTCGGTTCGGTGGTATTTCGACCAATGGGCCGGACTATACCATTTCAGATGGCCACTGGGAGCATGGGAACTGAGCACTTTCTGGGCAATCCTATTACGAGTGAGACGGCGGGACGAGTGCACCTTACATGAACGGCGATACGAATTTCAACCTGAGCGTCTTAGCTCGGCTAGGTCCAGCCGCCACACTTTCTAAAAGATGATGTCTCTAGCAGCCCCTGATCATGGCCTGACACCGCTTTCAGCGTGCTTTCAGCGTGCTTTCAGCTTTCAAACGTGATCCATTAGAAATTATGTTCTATAATTTCTGGAAGGGATTCGCATGGAAGCCGTTGAATTAGGTACGATTTTCTTGCAATGCTCATAGGAAAATTTGGGTCTTTTTGTTCAGAAAGCTCACACTTATGGGCAGAACGTCTCATTTGAATGCAACGTTGCTCTTCACACAGAGTGTAGTCGCTGCCACTTCTCCCTTGCCTCGCCGTCTTGTACATGCCATGACATTTGTACAGCGGGCCGTGGCGGCACTTCTGCACAAGTCCGGCGAGCCATGCTGGCCCTTCTAAGTGACAATATCCACACCCTCATTCCATGGCTGCTTCTCCAAAGCGGAACCAGAGGTCGACAGCAGCTGGGTGGGCCGCGGGCTGGACCGCCAGGGGCCGCTGAAGCAGCTATGGAATGAGCGTGACCTGACGAGATCCAGTCGGTCGCAGTCCGCCGCTAGCTGGGCACGCGGGCAGCCAGTCACGAGATAACGCTGGGTCGCCGCCCGCCGCTAGCTGGGCACGCCGCCCGCCAGCCACGAGATAACGCTGGGTCGCCGCCCGCCGCTAGCTGGGCACGCCGCCCGCCAGTCACGAGATAACGCTGGGTCGCCGCCCGCCGCTAGCTGGGCACGCGGGCAGCCAGTCACGAGATAACGCTGGGTCGCCGCCCGCCGCTAGCTGGGCACGCGGGCAGCCAGTCACGAGATAACGCTGGGTCGCCGCCCGCCGCTAGCTGGGCACGCGGGCAGCCAGTCACGAGATAACGCTGGGTCGCCGCCCGCCGCTAGCTGGGCACGCCGCCCGCCAGCCACGAGATAACGCTGGGTCGCCGCCCGCCGCTAGCTGGGCACGCGGGCGCGATTCATGAAGCAACTTTGCCTAATCATTTCGATTGGAATGTGGTCTCAGGAGTGGTTGAGTTCTAAAAGCAGCAGACGAGACTGAGAGCAAAAGCGAGATGGAGAAAGTGAAGAGACCAGGAGGAGGAGGGTGGGGAGAAAGAGACAGATGAAAAGAAAGAGGTGAGAGAGAGAGAGAGAGAGAGAGAAGAAGAGAGAGGAGAGAGAGGAGAGAGAGAGAGAGAGAGAGAGAGAGAGAGAGAGAGAGAGAGAGAGAGAGAGAGAGAGGAAGAGAGAGAGAGAGAGAGAGAGAGAGAGAGAGGAATATGTGGAATAAAAGAGAGAAAAGAGTGGAAGGAGACCCGTGTTCTAACAGCCTAACAGAGTTTTCCAGACTGCTTTGCTTTGATGACAGATAATGCTGTGAGGTTCGCAAGATGAAAACCCACACGTCTGGTCGGCTCTGATCCCGATTCAGGTGCCTTCGAGGGTGCTGTAACCAGGTTTTTGGCCAGGCATACCAAACTCATTACAGAATAGCAATGACATTTGATTTCAAAGCTTCGGCATATCTCACTATTTTCCCGCTGAATAGAATTGTCTGTCTCTCTGCGCGACGGTAATATTTATGGCGGCCCCGACTCCGCACTTTTTGCGACGGCGTTTCAAAGCCAGCACCATCAATTTGCAACAGCCGTTCGACGTTAAATGGCGTCTGTGATTCTCTTCAGGACAATTGATACGAACAGAGCAATTAACAAGTAACAATTCTCATCGTGGAGATTGAATGCCGTGAAAACCTCTTCTTGCGGGAATCACCTTGAACCAATATTTGCTTTGGAAATAGTCAACACTATGCAATAAGTTTGTTCATGGGTCCTCGTTTCAACTGCCGCGTAGATTACCCGGATGCAAAGACGTGGTTGTCCAACATACGAATTTTTTTCATGCAATGACAAGATACACAATGACTTGCACTCGTCTCTTGAAATGTGTTTTGCCTCCCTTTTGGATAAGGTTCGATGAGAGAGGGTTTTACACAGCGGCTCGTTTGAGCTCGCCAGCCATTTCAGAAACACTTTCGGCGAAAGATGGGATGTGGAAAGCATAGAATGGTCCCCAGCCACGCTGAGAGGAGGCACGGGACGATGTAGAAATGGTGTCATGCATCCATCTTAGGGGTGCTGAAACCCTATCACCTTTCATCTTGCTTACCAGAACACTTAGTAACCAAAAACGATGAGAGTATGACTTCGCTATACTGAGTGAGCCACATTAGTGCTTAGAGCCGCTGAAACATGAGTCACCGCAGCTTTTGAAGACGTGGCTATGCCGTCTGAAAGCAAGGTCCGGCTCTCAATGCATCTGAGGGGTTTGTCATATTTTTACATCACGTCTCATTTGCTGACGGACTTGATTCCGGCTAGCCACGGTCTACGTGACTCTACACCATCAGAACCGAAGTAATCAGCGGAGAGTGGCTGGTGTCGGAACGCTGGCGCGATAATCAGGTTTCTGCAGGCCGGATGTGTGTTGGCTCCCAATGAATCAAGCAAAAAATGAGCATTTCGTCACTTGAAACCGGCTCGGTTCCACGCTACGCCAAAACTTACGTCATTTTTAATTGATGCTAAACATCAGCATCTGAATGCACGTCAGGCGCAGTAAACTCGTAGAAGAAGACTTTACAGGTTTCGCACCCTGGGGTACCCCTATGGAATGGGAAACGGGCTAAGTGGGGTACGATTATTGGGCAAATTACGGATATGGGAACGGGTACGGGCAAGACGTTTGCGAAGCTTTCAATAAGACTTTTAACAAATAATGCGGAGTATTTCTGATCGCGCTTCTTTTACTCATGATTACCCTCATTCATGCTGCGTTTGTCGCTATCAACACAACATGGTGTAAGCTTTTCCAAAACCTTTCGACAATTCATAAATATAATGCTGGAGGGCAGTAAACAGGTTGGTAGCGATTGGGTACTGCTGATTAGTGACGGATCGCGACTGGCTGTTAGTACAACCCACAGGTAACAGGTAGATTCGGTAAGGAAAGCTGATCGTGAAGGCTCTAGTTCATGATACGACCGGGCATTGCATGCTGCTTTTAGCTTTGTGATGTCACTGTACAGTACACACGAGACATTAGATGGCTGGCATACCGCACACAGTGCATTCATGACATCCGTTTCGCTTTAAGAGGGAACACAGAATATCGCTACAATATTGTGTGGGTGGGTGTATTGCGATAAGCTTACCGTTCCATGCATAATCCGCGCGAGTAGAGTAGGGCTGTGTGTTTAATGTGGCTCAGACTGTGGGCCTGTGACGTGGTCCTTTTGGTTAGCCTCCAACAAACCATTTAAAAGGGAGAATATGTGGCAGTCAAAGTCTATCATGACGTATTGCTACGCACATTCAAAGATGGGAATCCTTGGCAATGACATCAATCATGTTTGATTTATTTCACGGAACACTTTGCAATTAAGGGTGTTCGTATCTGGATCTAGCGCACTAGCTGAAACGGGGACACCGGAGCACAATAAACAGTGATCTTCCAACACACAAGCACACACACACTCTCTCTCGGCTTTAAATCAGGCATTCTTTCATTGCGCTACAAACCCCGGCGGCCCATGCATCTAGCTGCTTTGTTAGTCACAGACACAGGTCAATCTGGGAATTATCCGAACACCAACGTACCATCACAGAAACATGTACGTCAGGGTTCACCCTAAAAAATGCACAAGTTAGTTTAACGCAAGATAACAGAGACAGGTGTGCCAGGCTGCCGTGGTAAAGACGTGAACTTTCGAGGGAGCAGGATGCACCAGCACACTGCTGGAGAAGTACGGGTGACGGGTGGCCATCAGAGAAGCCAAGGATGCTTGGTAAATACAGTCACGTGTTCGCTACGCCTGCACATCTGCCTAGTCGGACGGGAATCCCTACCTCGGTGAGTATCTGCTTGATGGCTCTGACGTTGGTGTCGTCTGCCCGCGTGGGCAGGTACCGAGCCTCGCCGCAGACTATCATCACCACCATCGCCACCAGCAGCATCAGCAGACGAGAGAGCTGCATGACCTGCCGGTACAGGGACGACAGCTGTCAGCACTCCTGCACTGCCATTACACTCTTTTTTCCACCCTATCTCCCCCCATCTCCATCGCTTTGCTGTCTTTCACTCTCTTAGCTCACTTTCTCCTCCCTTACGGCCCGTCTAAATATATCTAACCGTCCCTCTTTCTCTGAGGTGATCGTTCCTTTGGGTCGGCTATCTGCCTTCTCATCAGTTGATCTTCACAGTTATGTCTGCCCGACGTGTCGCTTGATATTTCCATACCATTCGATATCGCTTAGAAATTTGATATAGGTGCTTCGACTGCAATGTGAGCGCATAATGCCAAGATGAAAAATTAGCCACTCAAAAAAAAATGACCAAATCAAATACACTTCCGGTGTCAAATACCCCGTGCTTGCGATGCGACAAGCCGCCGTCCTTTGTCAGTCTATTAAAACGCATGATCTTTCGCAGTGAGGAGGAAGTGTCTCACGGTTGGACAGATCAGAGCGGCGTCATGGAGAAGCAGAGGAAACACTTGACAACACCCGAGATCTCCCCAGAAGAGATGGTGAGTCAATCATCGGCAGACTCCGGGCAGCTCCCAAGTGAAGCCTGGGAAGAAGCGCACTGCATTCCGAAACTTGCCTCGTCTCCCGGGGGAGCGCGCCGCCTTTGAACGTCTGGAATTGGTCCCCGAACAATCGTGTAATCTCCTCGCACGTCTCGCGCCACGATTGAATTCGGCCGCTCAGGTGGGCAGTGTGAGCGGCGCCGGCAATTGCAGCCGACCTGGCGCAAAATGGAGCGGCGCAATTCACCGGTCCGGTCGCCATGCCCCCAAGCAATTCGCCATCGTTCCACCCGCCGCCTGGGAAAGCGACACCGGCGCCGTGTTCAAGAGTCGTTCAGCGGTCTGCCGGGCTGCGTCCAACTATCGCGGACGTGCCATCAGCGTCGGCGGTCGGAGTCATCGGCCGATGGGGGGCGTTCGCCGGGCTCCTTCGACGATGTCATACATATGTGATAGCATCTTCAACGGCCAAGAAAACCGAACCTCGTTTCACCGTTTTCCACGACTGGTTCTCAATTCGGTGAACTAAGCACCAATGATAATGGCATTTACTCCAGAGCCTTTCACAATGTCTGGCACGTTATTGTACGAAAGACTTGACTACTTTTTATGGGTTGTTGAGGACTTTGATCAAAGTATCTAATTTATTCACTAGCCACCATGCGCACTTTTGAAAACATTGAGCAATTTCGCAACATATATTTAAAATCGGCCGACAGTTTCGTGTAACCAGCACTTCCTCGTTATGTGCAAGGCACCTTGCCCAGCGAACCTTAATGCTATCTGACCGGAAATGGCGTGGCTTCAGCGTTCCGGACTAGCTGACCAGTACCGCTTTTCAGGGGCAGAAGTCTTTGTAAGCACTGATCGCACCGCCGTGCAACAAGCATCAACTTTCAGCATCAGTCAGCGCGATTCTTCAAAAGCTGTGTTGTGACATGGGTGCTGCACTCGAGTCTATATTCCTCGGCCAGCATATGTATTTCTGCTATATTACAGCAGCATCACTATTTGCCTGCTTAGGAGCGAGAGAAACATGACATTTTCAGCTCGTCAAAAAAAAGAAGAATGCGGGCTAGAAACCGGTCCGGATCTAGGCGAACAGGCTTGGCAGCGACATGAGACTAACTGCAACCGAGAAGAACTGTTTTAGTGGCAGATCCAGCCATGACAGCCCCATGAGAACTAGATAAGCTGACAAATTAATTTTCTGTAACCGATAACCACCCAGAGTGTTAGGGGTTTGTTCACAATGCTGTTGTCACAGTCGACCAAGGCACGACCGATTGCAAAGTCCCTCACGCCGTCCATTACAATTGTCATTGCCTGATTGTCCCAAATTTAGCTAGCATTCCACAGATATAACGTTTGCAGACGACAGACATCGGTGCAGGTCCACCTGCTTAACTCATCAGAGGAAGATATTTCAATACAGAAATAAGCACTTTTAACACGAGTTCACGAAAGACGACGTGCTCCACTGCTTATGTTTCATCATCATACATCATCGATATAGCGATGATGATAATGTCAGTCATCATCACGCTCTCCCTGACACCACACAATGTATCTTCCTGGTATGTTGAAGGCCGGTTAGTTTCAGCATGACGCCTCATAATGTCTCACAAAAATCATTGAATTTTAACATCTAGACCCCTTTCGCACCTGTCGGAGCCTCGCTGCTTTTTTCGTTGATTTGCTTGGTTTTAAATGAGTGAGGAAATAAGCAGTCCAAACCATGCACGGCTGATAAGCCGTAAGTCGTAAGCCGTATGGCTGGTAGCCTCCTCCGCTTTTTTAGCATGATTTTGATGTGTGACAAATGTTTAAAATAACTCAACTCCAAGCCAATCAAAGGCAATTTGTTTTATGTAAAAGCCGGAAGCTACCACCCCTTTCGAGCTCAGTTTAACAATGTATTCCATTTGTATAAAAAAACAGCAGGCAGCGATTCAATTAGAGGACAACAAAATCAGGGCCACGCATTAAAATAAGACCAACAAAATCAACAGGAAAAAAGTACGTTTAATGTAATGTGTATAGTACACATGCACCAGCAAATAACAAGAATACCAACAGCCGAGCAGAAGCGCTGCCCGATCTGTTCCGGGCTTTTTGGTAATGCATTAGCATCGCCACCGCCGCGGCTGGCCGGTGTCTCTCTGATTGATGGCAGCATCAGCAGCAAGTTTATAGCGCATCTCTACGATATGCCCGCAAATAATTGGTGATCGACATTTACTCTTGGCATGGAAAAGGCACTGGAAGCAAACCATGTCAGACAAATCATGATTTCATTCTTACTCATCGGTGTCACGCTCACCACGCTCAGCGTACCAATCAAACTCGCCTTACCGGTAAGACGCATTTTGTGGCGCGGGACGAGCGAGTTGATAGCATGGAGGACATTGTCGGAAACATGTAGATGATATCTAAACATGTGCGAATGGGAACCGAACACCAATGGAAGCCCTGCTGCCTGCTGCGGCTGCCTTTTAGTACCGCGAAAGTAAGAGAAAACGCTAGCATTTAAGGATATCGGTAAACATACACTAGGCCAAGAGCCTGTATACTTTTGTATTCTACCCCATTGTCGAAATGGGTACGGTGGGTTGTATTTCATACCGGTTTCATAACGAGGGGAGTTAGCGGTTTGCCAATCTTTCACTGACGCACCTAGGAGTCAGATATGTTGAGCTCGCCCAGTGATATGTGGACGGGATGCCGTTTGCTGGTTGATGGGGTTGCTGAAATTAAAACGTCATTTATCGCGTGACGAAACTATTTTGTTAACGATGAAGTTGAAGCGAGCTCTTTCGATAAGGCAGATGCGTGCTGTGTTATCTATTCTGGATTTGTTTTCCAAGCTGACCTAAGTGCTGTTTATTGCGAAGATCGCAATGATTGTGCACAATCATGATTTTGTCAATAGACTGAGCATAAGATTTTCGTTGGCTGCTGTTGTGTTGTGATAAATATGCTCAAACTATCAAACTGAAATTTAGAAACGCTGTGAACTTTTTTTCTATTTATGCATTCGTCAACTGAAACATTTGGACATTTTCTTAGGTGATCGCTGATGGCTGGCAGCAAAAACGAAGCACAAATTAACACTACTGTACACACTGAAGAATATGCATACCCGTCTAACCAGGCATATCCACGCAAGAATTTTGCAGGATAAGAGAATGTTTGAGATTTTGTCGGAAGATCTTCTGGATCTGGACGCCTTTCTGGGATCCAGGCAGATGTCTGGTTATACTATTCCGGCGCGGTTAGCCTGCATCGTGGGGCGCCTTCGCAGATGCTGTGCCGCCCGCCATGTGAACTCTGCGGCACAGTCTGTATGTCAGGCCGTATGAGAGTATGCGTGAGAATACGTCACGCCGCTGAGGGATTACTAGGCCACAGTGCGCTGACAGACGCACACTGCAAACAAACACTGAGCGACTGGACGTGAAATATCCGGGCGTTGTTTAGCGCGGGGCTTAATTAGGATTTCATTAGGGAGCGATCTTTCCAATTCAAAGGATCTGGCTTCAGTAGGTTTTCTTTGGACTATCCGCTCGGTAATCCAGGGTCCACTGCTGTAAACGTGAGAAAGGAAAGAAACCTAAACCAATTTCGGTAGCTGCTCATATCACTGAATAAGCGATACGCCTTCAGTGTCAGCAGGGGTTTACACCGTCAATGTAAAGACGGTAAGCACGCATGCTGTTTTTCTCAGGACGGTGTGGTCCAGGATAAGATCCTGCGTAAGGCCCCACAGAGCTCATTGCTTTCTCTGTAACCGGTTGCCTGAAAGCCAGCACATTTACACTCTGTGAGTCGCTGTCGTGGGAGCTTAGAGGAGGCACATTTTGAGCTGACCATGCTGCTGACCAGCGGGCCCACCCACTACGAGGGTGTAAGGGTGCCCCAAACACTTGGATAGAAGCGAAAAGAGAATTTCTCGCGCGAAATGTATCGTGCATCGTGATTGGGATCAAATTAAAATTCCACATGACAATTGTCACTAAAAACGCAATCACCCTCGCTCCTATACTCCCATGCGCGTGGTGCACACAACCACGAGGTATGTTTTAATTAGAGCAAAAGAAAATAACAAAACATCACGAAGTCTCTTTCCAGCTGATGACAACAGCTCAACGCCTATGACCAGGAGTCTTGGAAAATGTCTGTCTGCAGGCCGAGTTCGGAGACTGGCACCAAGCAAAGAACTTTGTAAAAACGGACTTGGCTAGAACATGCGCGTCTACTCAGAGAAGTCGTAACCACATGCTGCTAAAGAAGGTGCGCGGCACATCCCCACTACCTGACCACTCTCACCCCGAGTCATGCCTGTGGTCAGGTTCCACAGATTAAGGGAGGGGTGGGGCGCAAATTGGGATCTTGCGGGAGACGTGACGTGGCCTCATGTTTGGCGAGGTCGCAGACGCAACAGTACCTATTGCGAACAATTGTGAAGGGTGGAGGGTCCACAAGCTTCGGCCAAGACCACCTGGACCAAGAGCAGGACCATGTCCTCTCAGTCCCCCATGGTGGGTGTCAGTCGTGACCCGGGCCAGACCGCGGCGGCGCCCCAGGTGGCAGCGTTACCTCGGACTGGTAGCTCGGACTGCTGTAAGCCGGGGCCGACGGAGGGCGCCTGCCGTCTCAGCCGCGTGACCGGACCGGAGTGGGCAGCGGCGACTCGCGACGCGCTCTTACCCTCGCACCGATACTGACGCTCATCTCCAATGAACGCTTATAATTCGGACCGGCAGTGACGTCACAGGCTCCGCCCCGCGTGACGTCACAGGTCGGCGGAGTGGGCAGAGCCGCGGCGCCGCTGGTCCTGCGGTGGGTATTTGTTGTCGGATGACAAAGGATTTTTCGGCGGTCGTGTCGGGCGTCCGGAGAGACATATTTAGAGTCGGGTTTCGAAACTTGAGGGAGGACTTCCGGGCGTTGTGTATTTTGGGGCCGATCTAGATGACTGCACGACAGATAGAAATACGGTTTCATCCCGCTGTCTGCAACGAGCTGTATTTATCCCAAGGCACTGCAAACATTGAGAGTCGCGTTGCGAAGACCATCGGCGCCATAGCGCGTCATACACTCTCATGGCAGTGTGATCCGCACAACATATAGCAACTCAGAATGCTCTCCGGCTTACATGTTTACGGTTTCCCCATACCCAGCATCGGCTGCGGGGTATTTGTGACTAACTAGTCTACAATTGCATGGGGCCATTATGTATAGTTTTGCTGCCAGGTCCCCAGTGTTAATTTCGTCCACCATTCTGACCTGAATTGCCTGCAGTGGCGCGCCGACATTGTACAGGCACACGATGGGCCTTGGGTATCATTTAAATGATCTTGTTTTTGGTTACATTGTGTTGGTTGCATTGTGACTTCCTTCAAGAGTTTAAGAAATTCCCTGGAAATGGATCATGTGAAAGGTGAAAGGTAAGAACTATTAGTTGTCAGGGGCTTAAGTGAATAATATATTACGTTTCCACTATTGTTAACTTACAACGGACAGTTTAAAAGCTACAGCAATGCTTGCACCTATTTACATCAGCATAAGATGCGTACGTTTTGGTAATCACCGCACAATCGCCAGTTCCATGGACTCATGTTTACGGGGTCATCGCCGTCTGCAAACACTGACGATGATGAAGGGGGGGGGGGGGGGGGGAGCGGTGTTTCTTGACGAAGCGTTGATGTGTCAAAAATAAGCATACGGCCGACTATCTAACCTAACTGACTAGTCAGGCAGCTGGCAAACATCCAATGTGCACCTTCAGCGTACATTCGCACCAGATGTAGTGCTAATGTAGCCGCTAAATGCCTGGGACCATATCTTTAAACATTGAAGGAGTATATGCGCCCGCGAATATCAATCAATGACCATGACTATTTTTTGCATCTCCATAATGATTATCTAAATTTGTCTCATGGTTTGTTACCTGAAAGGAAGATCCTTCTCCCATTACACCGCTACACACCGCAAGATGGCGTAACCGTTATTCTATTCGTGTAAATTTGTGTTTATCGTGGTACGTACGTGTGTTTTGACATTTTCCCTGGCGTTCTGGCCTTCTCTTCCATGGTGGCATATGTTTGCGTGCATTTGTATTCTCGGTTGCCGCAATATTTTTAAGTCATTTGATGATCGGCTATATGTATGTCATAACTGATAGGAATGCCCAAATCGCCGCGTTGTCTGACACAAAATCCGGTCGTGATCGCTCCAGTTGGAGGTATTTGGGACGTTTCTATGACCTCACACATACCCAGGCGGCTTCCAAATAGGCGGTGCGAAATAGACTGAACAAGTTTGCAGTCCGTTAAAGGGAGTGTTCCATGTTTATAAAGGGCTTTGAACTGAAATAGCCGTCTTGAAGATCTTTCGGCGCTGTTCACACTCTAGCCCTTCTTAAGACCTAAGTCGCTCTAGTTTCTGAGCTACACACCCGTGAAAATTGGGAAAGGAATACTGAGCAAAGCATTTAAAAGTCACCTTGGCATTCATGAGGTCTTAATGACTCTATTCAGATCCTACCAATTAATAAGCCATGTGGTGATCAAGGCCAAGGAAATATAATTGTCGAGGCATTCATGTCTGGCGTTCGTGCGGGCTATCTCCAGGTTATAACAGCCGCTAATTGGCTCTTAACCAATATTGTGCAAAATACGATGACGCATCAAACTATGACGCATTGCGGAGCGTATTTACTCTAAACAGATAACTGTGCTGTAACGAGCAATCTTTTTCATCAAAAAGTATGTCAACAAAGTGAGCTAAGTGAGCTTGTTTGATCATATCTCATGTTTGCTTCCATATCTTCAAATGTAAAGCATTGTCTTTAAGCTCAGAAACAAGAGGATTTGAAGTCCTAACAAGGCTATGACTTTGAGCTGCAGTGAATTAGATGGACAAAACAGTAGTATAAGCCTTATTGCCCGGAAAAGCCAGGAGAATAGAAATATAGTTAGGTTGATATCTCGGCAACATGTCTTTCTCGAAACAAGAGCAGACTTTTGATATTTTCCTGTTGTTTTTTCTCGAAACAATAGCAGATTTCTGCTATTGTTTGGAAAAAGACATGTCGCCGACATATCAACCCTGCTATATCTCCATTCTCCTGGTGTTCCCGAGGAATAAGGCTAATATTATTGTGTTATCTATGTGACTGATGCTCCTCTCTAATGCACTGAACAACTGCAGTGAATTATCTGGAAAGTGAATATCTCGGTTGAAAAACACATGCAAATGTAAAGCAGCGCTATAAAGAAATAAACGGATCGTCGCCAAGACGATATTAGCCAAGATCACCTCAAATCATTTGAGCTTTCTGATGTGATGGTTTGATAGCAGTTTTCTTTTGGCATCTTGGAAAGTTTCTTCACTGGAACTTTTTTGTTGTCATCCGGCAACCGCACTCCCCTATGTCAACGAGGACCACTGTCAGTTGCACGCAAGGCAAGCAGGTGGAAGGTGGTTCCACGCTACTCTGTCCAAAAATGACTTGAAACTGCAAAACGCAGTACGTAGAAGATATACTGAGCTACAAATAACTAAAGATGTTCACTCAAACTACATCAGGTCAACCAGTGACACATCGGGTAAAACCGATTATATTTCCTGGGAAGAAGAGGTGTGCTTATTTTGATAACCCAGGTGTGGACCGGTGCTTTTCAAGGCAAATCGGTAGAATGTTGCGATCTAAATCGGACTTAGTGCAAAAATTTCGAGCTGAGGTAAAACAAGGCAAAGAGGGCACTGATCTTAGAAGCAGGACCACCATAAACAGTTCCGAGAGGAAAGCTAGCTTTTATTGCCATAGAACAGCAAGGCGAACACACATTTCGAGAAATGGTTCTGCGAAAGGTGATAAATGATGCTACAGCTCAGAAGTCTGTCATGACCTGCCATTGATCATATATGAACAAACTTACTTTCAAAACATGCTGCAAGTAGGTATCATCTCCCGTGAAGAATTTACGACAGTACTGTTCACTTGCAGCTTTGTCTAAGTAGGGCAGCATGCTGGCAACCACCTATCGTCAGACAAGAGATAAATAGTGCATATTGCCTTTTCATCATGCTTGAACGCGTTACAAGAGCAGGCATCATGCGCTAAAACGCCATGCCTTTACAGCAGAACGGTAGTGATGACAAGCAAGGTCCAGATTCTCCGACGAACGTTGATGCACATGGAGCGGAGATGCAGAGGCCCCCAGAACCGGTCAGGCAGGCTCTTGCGTATATCTCTTCCCCGACCAAGCGCCTGCAATAATCGTGCTTCAGTCGAGCGTGTAGGCTAAACGATGAGCAGGTAATGGAGATATGGCTGCAATTAACGTTATATGCGCGCTTAAATGGCACGAAACGCTGATGAATGCTGAGAAACCACGAAGCGCTGACTTCTGACCGAGTCGGGATCTCTTTCAGGGTGCTGTGCCGTCGTCTTTAATTAGCTGGTGGACTAAGTTGGAGAAACTGCTGATATTTACAGACGCTTAATGTACCTGCTATGAGCGTGCGTCAAGGGATGGCAACCACAGTAATGTGGCCGAGTGTCGATTCTAGATATATAAACATATTATGAACAATGTTTATAAATGTCATCATACATTTGTGTTGTAAATATTACATTGGCCTAGCCACAGTATTTGGGGGGGGGGGGCTGTCTGTTGACCGACTGAACAAAGCTTCCGGTCACATTGTAGTTTTGCACGTCTGCAAGAAGAACTCTGAAGACACTGGAGCACTCGAGGTGACAAATGACGTCGACCACAAGATGGATGGGGTACTTCACTGATTAGATCTGTTCTTTCAGTCTGAACGGAAGAGAAGATATCTGCAGATTGATACGGAGGCGCTCGCGCACCGGGTGGGAGTGTTGTAACATTTTGTTGCGTGCTTGCCTGCAGTATGCAGGCAAGCAGGAAGCAGATACCGAACATGCTGAGTTGGCAGCATTAGTATCCACCACACAGCTTTTCCAATGGTGCCGTTTGTATCAAAGATATACGTCTTTCAGAAAGCGCTGGGTTCTTACAGCAGCATCTCTTATTGCAGTTATCAGCGCATAAATGGGTATACCGTGGCAATCACAGGAACACCTTCTAACACACAGTTTACAGCGGGTGAGTGTTTCTTACCGCAACCTGCATCTTGACAAACCTTCAGCCCATTGCGCTGACCCAAGCGGTATTCGACCATCATAGAGCCTTTGTTGCGGAAAACATTTTTCGTTAACCTAGGCTTTGAAGGGTGTTTGAAAAAGCGGAATGGAAAAAGCGAAAAAGTCAACGAAACAAGCTAAACAAAAAAAGTTGAGCGGAAATGATCAAGCGAAATGGTTCGCGCGAAAACAGTCGAAAGGACTGAAGGACGAAAACTAGTAGAAATGAATAAATGTCTACGGGAATAAGAGTCGACAGAAAATGAATTATAATAAGAAAACCAAGGGCAACAATGCCAAAAGAGGAAAAACTCGTCAGGGATAAAAGACGAACCGTGAAAAATTAAAAAGACAAACAAGTTGCATAAGATAAAAATCAAAAGAAGACCGCGGAAAGGGTCAAAAGTGAGATAAGTAGACATAGATAAAATTTCACAGGATGAGCCCCAATCAGAAAAAAGTCACCAGGTATTACGGTCGACATAAATAGAAGCCACGTATGAAAGCAATTCAGCGGGCAAAAATG